ATAGTTATCGATTCCTTTCTTAATCAATTTCAAATGCGTCCTACTAGGAAGTTTCGATTTAAGATGTGCATACGACCAAATGGATCTGCAGATTATCCTGGATGCATCATCTTCACGACGCGAGGTGAGCGCCTCTAGGATTTTGCTTTGGCCTTTGTACCCAATAGTTGTTGTTGGCTTTGGCTAGGAATTTACTGGCGGGGGAGCTGGAACCGTAGAATACGAATACATTATCCATTTAGCGCGAAAGTGCTTAGCGCTCACGCTATTGACGCCGGCGTCAGAAGCGCCAAAACAGCTTTGATCACCAAGATTGCTCTGATTAATCTGTGCTTTGGTGTTCTTGAACAAAATCGTGGAATTCAAAAATAGGGATGGGAGACGAGTCAACCCTGATGTCCGCCCATTTTGAAAAACTTAACGACCTCACCCCCCCCCTCTCACAAGGGGATCCTGATACATCTCCGTCATCCTTCGCCACCACCACCCTCGCTGCTAGTAGTCTAGTTTGTCTTTTCAGCTTCTTTCCTAAGGTTTCTCAGGTTCCAAATCGCCAAAACCCCTTTTAAACAATCCCCTCTCTCACAGCCATGACACCCACAGCATCCACAAACGATCCCCTTCACTTTGGTTAACTTTCGTAGCAACCGCAAATAGTACCCTCTCCCTCCCGAAAACTGCAAGTACGACCCACTCGTCTGGCCGGACGGTTGTCCCTGGATACGTGGTGTCCCCGTGAAGGGCATACTCCACAAATTGGCAGAGAAGTATTTCTTGAACGAAGGAACTTATAAATCTTTAAAAGAAAACAGATCATCAGAACCACAAAAATCGAGTACCGTCAACCTTTCATTTGAGACATGCTTTAAGTCTATTTGTATGCACTTCCTCAACAGTTCCGACCCCGTGTAGAGCTGTCCTAAAATTTGGCGGGGAAGTACTTTTGAATGGGGGGGGGCATGATTGACAGAAGAATAGATCGTAAAACACCGAAACCGGGCAAATCAAACGCCTTCCGGGCTCATATTCTCAGATTTTTTACAGTAATTTCGACAGTAATTTCGGCCCCGTGAAGGGCCTTTCCAAAAATTGGCAGGGAGGCGAGGCCCTATTGATAACTCACCAGTGTTACCTGGTAAGCGGACACCCGCCTCAGGCGCTCCCGGGTAGCAACCAGGACGGATGTCTCTTTGAAGGTGGCCGCGGAGGCGCACGTTATTGGTTATTGATGTGTGGGCACGGGGCCGCTCTGATGAGCGGTGCACCCAGCACAGCTCGGCCTGTCCCTGGATGTGTTAGGCGCACGACAGCGACGACGGCGAGCGAGGGCGCTCTGGCAATCGCGTCGTACACCTCGCGGGCTTGCCAGGTGTGTTTGACATTCGAGTCGCGTCCTGCTGGTCGCAGTAGCATCGGATTCGATTGGCGAATGATTCAGTAATGATTTGCGTCAAGTGTAACGCGTGGTGTCTAGCTCTAATGTCATAAAAAGGTATACGAAAAAAAAAAAAACATAAAAAAAACGAAAAAAGGAAAAACATGTACCACTACCTAGCAAATGATGGGAACTGGCTCGGATCCTGCCTGGGGCAAATGTTTTGCTGTTGCGCATCCTCGTGGTAATTTCTTACAAAGTCCGTTTCCAAATTGTTCTTTTTTTATAAGTACGTGCCAATGCATAAACTTACCAGCTTTTGTTCGCGGCAAAGTTGTAATGTCCTAGAACGATATTTTTTGGGGATGCGCCATGCATCCTTCTTCCATTGAGAATTGTACTGGCGTTCGGAATGAATGGAAATTCTACACAATGAATTGCGAGGCAACCGAGGTTTATGTTGGCAGGGGAGCATTTTATCTTTTGGGGTAACTCCAAATCGCCGATCACGGAGGTGGAGGGCAGGTTGCGTGGACGGAGTTCGATCTAGGTTCTGATTCCCAAACCGTACGTGTGGTAAGCAGCGCCGCTTGCCATTACACCACTGTCGCCCATAACCAACACCCACATCGAGTAACGACAAGCTAAGGTTTTTGAGAAAGATAAATACTCCTTAAATTTTCTCAGAGGTCAGGGAAATTCTCCTGTTCGTAAAATCCGTTCTGTTCAGTAGGGGTTACTACGGAATGATAGCAAGCATTGATTTTCTGCTTCTACGCGCTCTTCAAGGAGCAGGGTAAAGCCTGAATAGAGCAGTAAACAAGGATAGGAATGGCAGCTGGACATATTTAAAGGCGATTAAGATGGCTGATGGTTACGTCTGTGACGTCATGATCATATACGGCTGTTAAGGGCAGTCTCAAAGACTCCTTAACTGACTAATGCTCAGTGACCTCATCAAAACCATACCGCCCTCTAGCCATCGTGCTTACTGCGTTAAGGCTTTCTAGATACTTTGGAGCCTTCCTATGCTTTTATTTGAATTGTTAGGCCCCTAATTCTTTCAAACGTCCGCTCCAGAACAACCAACAGCATTTCAACGGAAATCCTGAACGACACTCCAGAAATTATTACTCAAGAGATTTCAGGTGTTCGAACATCAACGTGAGCTGGCGTTGTCGTTGATCGAACGTCTACCTATCTCCGCCACTAGCACGAATGTTGCCGTAGGAATCATCAGCTTCACTGCTGTGCCAACAGTCAGGCTTCCACTCGGATTGGGAAGGGACAAAGCGGTAATCACATTATTTTCATTGTTTCGTTAATTTCGTTTTCTTATGCTAATCTTCTCAATATTTTATTATTGTTATTATCTGTCTGCCTTTTACTCCATTCTTTACATAAGCTTTTCTATTGTGTGTTTAATAGTGCTGTGGGCAGCAACCAACCAATGGTAAAAACATTGTAATTGTAATTATAAGACGAGGGTGGCGGTTCGAATCTGCGAACTTGGGGCGGAAGTTTTGTCCTAACCCAGCAAATCTTGTGTAAATATAAATAAGTAATGCTTAACGTGGATTTGCACCTAGCGGACTTTGCATTCCCGGGATCCAGCTGAATGTACAACAGGACCCATGTTTTTCATTCTCAGCGCAGATACGCATTGGGTGCGCTCCCGAATCCAGTACGAGTTTCTACACAGGGATTTAGCCGTTAGCGCCTTCAACACGTGCTTCACGCGAATTGGGCCCCAAGGTAAGCAATAACACAGAGATCCGATTTCTGAGCAGCTCTGGTAATGCCAAATAAGCGGCCTAGCCATACTTAAGGTTTTCTTTTCCAATTAGAGCAAATTTTTGCGTTTTGCCCCTGGTTCCCATTTTCTTGCACATATCTAGACTCATATCGCTGAAAAATTCTTACTGTAAGCAACTGTTAATGCCGAATGCTGCTAGGCATATAAAAATGTAAAAGTTTCCTTTCTGTATTTTTCATGGTCTAATTTGTTTTGTTTTTGCTTGATGGCAACCTAGGGTCCGCTTCAAAGAAAACTGGCTCCCGCAAGATGCCCTAACATGCAAAAAACCCCCCTCAAAATCGCTTCACATCCTGAACGACTTTTCCGATAAGCTAATGGCTTCGCTGTCCCCTTTCTCTCTATTTTCCCCCGTTTTGGGCCTCGAAGGCTAGGAAGTTTTCTAAGAAGCCGTTGTGAATTTTTTTTTATGTCACATCACACAGCTAAAAATTACAGGCTTTAGGCAAGTGGTCTTATGGAGTGAGCAAAAAGAATGTCTACTGTGAGACAATTCAGATGATCTGGTGATAATTTCAAATATCGAAGATCAAATTCAGGAGGTTCGTGCTGCACTCGAATCAATCCAGTATCGCGGTGGCTCCACGTTGACAGCACAGGCGGTGGATCTCAGCTCGATGACTTCTTGATGGTCAGACACCTAAATGCCATAAAGGTCTGCTTTTATTGTAACTTCCCCTTCTAGTATTTTTGAAATCCGTTGTTTACTTCCGACGGTTTTAAAAGTAGCTTCGAGGTTAAGTAACAACATTGATAGCAGAAATGGTCCACATTCCTTTTGAGAAATTGGAGGTCAAGTGAAATGATACGAAAGAGTGAGCGTTCTCAGCTTTCCACTGCAATAGAGAGTAAGAAAACACTTGGCGTATTTCCGCCCCTATTTTTTCTCTTTTCCCTGTAACGATCATAGCAAAGAAAAAATGTTGCCAAGTAGGGTTGTGCTTATGTGGTCAGACAAGACAGGCAACATTCCATTCATTATGTCTTCAAGACACCCTCATTGGCCTCATCCCCTCGGCACTTTAAAAGTCAGCTTACCTAAAGGCGTGCCCCTACGTCTGTAGGTACGGTGCCTGAAAAATATCGACAAAAATTTCAAGTGTGTTATCCAATTAATTTTACTAGGTGGTGGTGTTGATGAATGATGGTTTCTCGCAAGATGCATGGGATCGTGTGCTGTCGGCCAGCGAGCGCCTTACTTCCGTGAAAGCAGAACTATTTGGAGTAGCGCTCGGGAGTGAAGTAAGCTAATTTTTATTAATTCTATTTGTCTGTTTACAGAAAAAACAACAACAATGGATTTGCCCCAAATGCTAGTTCTCAATCGTTTTAAAAAGAGGCACAGTCAGTGAATAATTTGGAGAGTAAAAAAATGCGTGGAAAGAGCGGATCCTTCACCAGTGGCAAATAGTGTATAATGGTCGAGAAAGTTTGAAAAGATCCGTGTAATCAATGAGTAGGAAAAAATGAGGCTTCGGTACATGTGTTCGTAATCAGGATCAACCGTCACGTTAAAAAAAACCTTGGAATCGGACAATATATTCCTGCAATGGTGCCTTATCACAACCCCCTCCCTGGAATCACAAAGCACGACCTCCCTCTTTTGAACTATACGCGCTGGTTGACCCGGTTGCTTAGAAGCCGTTGCTTAGGAGAGGTGCTTTGAGGCTTGACCTACTTACTTTTGACTTTTATTTGAACAGCGCAGATGTCATTTGTTCTGGAGCATTACTACGAAGTATCTCTTACTTCAGATGAGGATTCTGCGCTTTTTAAGATATGTGGCATGTGATGAGTGGATCTATATCTATCGTTAATTATAATCTAATAAATTTGGAATGTCGAGTAAAGTGGCTTCGTTAGGGACATAAGCGAATTCGTTTCGTCTCTTTTCCGTTAAGCAACAAATCCTGATAAGGTCAATCTATTCTATGGGTAAGATGGAGTAGTTCACTGGTATCATACCCATGTCATTGTTGTCGTGCCATTGTCGCGGCTCGAAAATGTGCGACAACGGCGGTGGAGCCTCACAAAGTGAGCTAATGATGGCTAGTGTGAGCTCATGGACGAGATACCTCGCGCATGCTCCATAACACTCAACGGATCACAACGCAAAGGCTAATTCAAGTACGCGCGGGCTGGGGAAGCTAGAAGAAGAAACTGGCGATAATTCGACACACGTCTCCTCATTTACGGGGAAGGAAATCCTTGTTTGGGGGATCTATCGGCAAATTGCTTAGCTTCTCTTTTGGTCTTCAATCAGCTCGTCCGATTTCGTTATCGACCACTGCTCCCCACGAATTTGCTGGAGATGTTCAGCTTCCACTAAACAATAGAAAAGCTTTTCAAGGCTTCCTCTCCAACCGGACTTCACTGAAATCGATGTGTGTTTCGGCCGCAGAATTGGATTGGTTGTGGTAGTTGTTTTCGTAATGAAATAAAGAAAAAGCACTCGGACTCGTCAAATCTTATAGCACGGACATGATTGGGAGTGGTTATTGCGTCCCAATGCACAGATTTATTGGTTGACTTAATCTGTCACTATTCTTTTACTGTGTTTTGTAATGAGTCACGCTGACCAACGAGATTCGCGCAGATGCTGGGAGCCAACTCCGCCCATATGATAAGCGCGCACTGTTGTCCTGTTTCATCGCTGACTAACCTTATTAACTTCTGCGTAATTTTAAGCGTATACCCTAAAGATAATTCAGGGATGGATGCGCCTTTAAAAATTGCTTATAAATTCAGTATGTACCGGAGAGACTGGAACGCTATATTGCCCGTACGATCGATTATAAGGGATGGCTCGAAGAGAAGTGAGTCGTGTTTTGGCGAGTAGGTCGCGTAGTAATCTGTAGGAATTACAGAATAAATTTTCTTTCCCTTTAATTTGTCTTCAGTCTTGACTAGATTATGATGCATAACTCTGAATGTAGGCTACTCTAGATGTGAATTTTGTTGTTTCAATGCGTCGACAGGGGCTTGAGAACATGCCCTATCTCTGTTTTCACCTAGCGTCTTATTTTTGTCCATGAATATTGGGAGAATCATTTTCTAGTTTCACACTTTTCATTTTTCTAAATCTCGTTGCTCTTTCGAGGCCATCATAAGTCAGTGGGTAAAAAACATCACACTTTCGCCTTACTGCGGGATCAATCGAAAATTTGTTGTGGTTTCGAAGAATCTCAGAAATTCAGGCTCCATCACAGAAATTTAGGTTCTTAAACGATGTTGTCTCGCTGCTCAAAGGTGAAAAGGACTGTCCTGAAACGGAAGCTCATAGAGAGGTACGCGGCTCCATTAATCCCCAGTTGTTGTTACTTTTTGGAGCAAGTGCCTGCTTAATTCAGAGCCATACTCCACAACGTCAGTCGGACGAGTGTGCCGGCCCAGGTTTGGAATTGGTCGTCATTTTCGATAACACCGAGAAGAATATTCGCAAGGCGTGACTCTTCAATCAATGCTAATCGATATCTTCTATTAGATGTGCTTGGTAAGGCCATTTTTATATTTTCTCGCTCTTAGGGACTTATGGTTAGACTAATCCGTCAAAAACTCGTTATTGCACTTACGATTTTGTGCTTGCTACTGTCAGAGGCACATTCAGTGATTGAATAGGAGTGGGTCGTTGCGCTTGAAAATGAATGCAGTTCTAGTAATTCGTCCATCAGTAATAAAATAAAGGAAAAAGGATACAGTTGATCAATCCCTTTTTGGATGCGGCACGCATTCTACTTCCATTTGTACATTCGTAGTGGCGTTTGAATGCGATGTGGCCTATACAATGACTTGCGGGGGCCAGCCGATGTACAAGTCAGTGTTTTTTATCCTCCCAGACAAGTCTGGTACCAATTAACCGACCCCGGAGGGATGGAAGGCTTGGTTGGCCCGGGCGACTCACGACCCAGGATTTGATCCCGGACCGCTCGCGTGGTGAGCGCGCCACTTGTCACTGCACCACTTCCGCCCAGTAATAAAATAGTGCGAAAGAATTGCTAAGAATCTCAAAATCACTCTCCACGCTGGGGGCCTGGGGGCATGAGGACGGGGTTTCCCTGGGAATTCATGCGTTAGCACGCTCTGATGACAGACGACGAGAATGTATGGTCCCAAGTGACAGGGTGGCTACTAAATATTGGCGCATGGATTGTTGACCATATTTTTAAAACGAGAAGCTTTTACATCTTCAGAGGTTTATCTTTATATACCTTATAACATGGCAGTACATGCTGAAGAAAGTGCTCGAAATGGCCTTCCTTCGGCAGCGATACAGGCTTGAAATCTCTTCTCAACTGACATCACTGTGGGCCGCAAGTAGCTGACGTCAAGCTCCTTCCACGCCTCCTCCAAGGAAGCCTTCAGGGAGTCCAAACTTCGACGTTGCTCAGAAGGCATCTTCTGCTTCAAGAAGCCCCACACCGCCAAATCAATTGGTTCAAATCGGGCGACTCAGATGGCGCAACATTTTGTTCCGTAACATGGGAAGTGGCGTCCAGTTTCCAGCTTGATTTTTGCAGCATACGGATGCGCCTGTTGCTGGAGAATGCAATGACGTTCGCTGAAGGTCAAAAGAGTCCTTGAAAGAAGGGCATTACGTGAAAATTGTTTCCGGAGTAGATCTGGGCGCTGGCTTTGATGTATTCATCCACAAAGACAAGCGGTGTCATGGTTTCAGAAGTAATTCCTGCCCAAACCATGACAAATTTGAAAAACGGTTCCTTGTGTGTACACAAGGTCGAGCAGAATGTCTGCTAGCCAGATCCAACAACTGCCTGTCGTTTTGCAAATCGTGCGCGCCTTTGCTCTGAAGATCTACCTACGTCACGCCGCCGTCAGCTACTTGCGGCCCACGGTTCAATGGTATTTGAAAATTATACCAACATTAAGGGGCTAGAGGTCGACTGTGGGAAATTCAGATGTCTCCCGGTATTGAGAATTTGGATTTTACAACTATGGAAACTGTTTAGGCTCTTTGAAATCTGGAGCCCGCGTTCGTGTTTCGGTGATCTCATTCGGGGACACTCCGAAGGTCACTTTGGATTTCACAGACATCTCCGAGAGGGATAAAATCTTTGCTCAGGTAAGCTGGTTACTCAGCCTGGTCAAGTGAACACTATTCTTTTGGCCCAAGTGGGAGTTGTTCCGATGAGTGCTATTGCGTGCGTCGTTTTGACGTTTTGCGTTCTCATTATACTTTGAAGTCGATCGAATCGTGCGTGGCTAGTTTGGCTATGTGCAGAGATTAGATGGGTTAAAATGTTCAGAAAAACAGAAGGCAGCGACGCAAACTCCATCCAACCTCATCTGTATGGCAGAAGAATCCGCCGAGTGTATCGGCACATAGTGGCGAGGGTTCTGCAAAGCGCCGCATGGAGCCTGGAAAATACAGCTTCAGCCAGCTGTTTTTGCACGTCTGATATTTTTAAAGTGTTGTTTGAAAAATTGTCTTCTAGTCGAAGCCATCAAAACAGTCTCCGCACAACCGTCATACTCTGATGCTGTATCGTTAGCACTTGCGAAAATACTCAACGAAGGACGGTAAGGGTTTTTCCAAAAGTTTTCATTTACTCTCGAAAATGTCTCTCTTTTTTGGAGCCAATCTCCCTCAACTGTCGCAGGGTTCAATGGGCTGTTGTGATGTCGCGAATAATTCCAATCCATTGCTTCTTATGCCTTCGAGTGGTCCTGAATTTGATTTGGAGAGAATATTGGGAAGCGTCGCAACTCTCAGTCACATAACAACCCCTAGCAAAATTTACATTTTGCGCATTTTATTGAACAGCAAAAAGCGCTTTGCCCTCAACGATTCGAAAGGGAAACGGTAAGAGACTTTTTTGGACACAGTAATGCTTTGAAGGGGAATTGACACCTCCAAGGGTGGCAAGAAGAGAACTGCGCCCATGCCGGCCATGTCAAAACTTTCTTCGCAAAGTCGGGCCGCAGTATTTTTTTTTTCACGCAATAATCCCTTTAGATGTTCTCCCATTTGCGAAGGCTCTCCTCCATTGTACTCAGGTCCTCCAGATAAGACGTCATCTTCCTCACGATACTAAGCTCTAGAAGGCCTAACCGTAATTCGTCCTTCCAGGCTGCTACGAACTTTTGACGAGTTCACAGACAGATTGCTTCTTGGAATAGTACTCTAAATATGCAATACCAGCAATTCAGAATAATGTCTAATGGTATGATTCCGCAACGACCAAGATCGACGCTGAGACAGTGAGCTGATTCGTGCTCAAATTTCTATGGGAAATTCTAGTAGCTTTCTGCGTTCAGAAAGCTATTACAATGTTTCTTGATAGATTGATATGTACTCTTTAATATTAGGTTGGGTGCAGTCAGCTTGAGTTTAGGAAGTGTGATGTTAAAGGAATCCTCCACGGAAAAGCTCCGCCCTCATTACCACAGAAAACGATACCTTAAAGGAATCTTCCACGGAAAGAGTGATCATTTTGTCTTGTGTGTAGGATTAGTATTATCGAAACTAACGCTTATGTTCCGTTCTTTTTGCTATGCTCATGAGGCTAGGGGCCTAAGGGTATCGTTTTTCTGTGGTAATGGAGGCGGAGCTTTTTCCGCGGAAGATTCCTTTAAGTGCTAAGGAAATGTGGTTAGACCACAATGGTTTTTTTGGTCACCTGTATACTATTCGTCTGCTACGGTGCACTTCTTACAGGCAGGGCTAGAAGGAGGTAGAGCGAGTACAAGATATGATAAGGCGACCCACTCACTCAACTCCAGATCCTCCGTTATCATCAGGTTGAAAGCTTAGTGACGGATTAGAAGAGGTCCTCAGCAGTTCCTACAGTCCCACATCTAAAGTGGGAAGACAAGCAACCACGGATACACTCTGGTGTTTGTGAGCAGAGACGAAGAGACGTCATTTGTGTAGGAGAAACCGAGGCACGACAAAATGCTGTGTCGTAATTCAGCGCTTAAATAATGCCTTGAGACCAGGATCGCCGTAAATTTGGCGCAATATGAAAGACTGTCTCCTCTCATGACACGGGCGACAAACTTTTGTTCATGTATATGAGATTTCACTTTTTTCTGTTCTGGTGAGTTTGAGTGTAATCGCGACCTTTGGAGCGTACCTTTTCTGACTCTGAGGAGCTAACCAGATGTTGACCAGAATATAAGGCAGAGGTCGATTATCGGCCGTCAATTTGGCAGAAGCGATAAGAATGTGCTGTAGGGAGGGTGGCTGTGGCGAGACCTTGTCCATTTACTGTTTTAAAACCTTCAAAGTGGCTATATCTATGTCTGATTTAACCCTCCGGGCGAGCTCTCAACTCGTGCCTATCTTACTTCGGTTTTATAAAATTCTTCCACCAGTACCAGCCGCATTTCAGACCGGATGTCCGAGGGCCCCCCTTGGTTTGGTGATTCTCGGAAAATGGCAATCAGCAAGGACTCAGAGCGTGAAATCGCTGTGCTTCTCAAATTCGAAAGTTAGATGATTATCATGCTTCAAAAGCATTTTCACTTCAGTGGGCAGTGAGGTGCGGGTCAGAGTCGCGCCTGGTCAAAGTTTTCTCATAACTCAGCATTCTTGAACTTTCAAATAGTAGTATACCATTTGCGAACCTTTTGGAGTTTCAAAGTTTGATTTTTAATGCTTGACATTTTTCCAATTTGCTTCCGATCTGCGATACTTAGGAAGTTGTTAACATCAACTACGTTGAAACTGGAGTGGATGCCCCTGACTATCTCTTTTACCTTCGAATCAATGTTTTCATTAGCAGTTGTAGTAGTGTATCTTGAGTGCGAGCACATTTGGCTGTGAATAATTCATGAGGTAAAAGTACACTTTTAGACTCCGAGTGTGACTTGCTTTGCTGTGGATTCGTCGCCAACAACAAATATATCTGCTCTGGAGATGCTTACCGGTTCCTTGAACCGCGTCTATCCCTATGAAAGAAATGCTGAGTTTGCTAAGGAAATCAGCCGGTTGGCTAGCTCAACCGAAAATGGAAAATGCAGATCCGCGGTGAGTACAACTAAGACATTTCTAGGCATTAATAAATAAGGAGTTCTTATTCCTGTTTGGGAAGTTTTCATGCTTCCAATAAGGAAATGAAGACTTTTCCTTGAAGGCTCAGTTCTGAATCTTTTATTCGCCGCAGTAACCGTCACGAGAAGGAGCTGTAGGCCTAAATGTTGAGTTGGGGGCAGTCGGATAATGATCCTCGAGCTTTTCACGCAGGAATCGAAGGTGTTTTCACTATGCTTGGTAGCCGTTCCTGGTGATAGACTATTTCAAGAAACACTTATAATTTAGTTTAGCCTCCAGGCAGATCTTAAAGGCACATTCCTCGATCGAAATTTGTATTTGTAGCACAGGAAAATGAATGTCGTTATGTGAGGAGGGTCGATAGTGAAGAAATAAAGGAGGAAAGACTATCAAAAACACTGAAATTGAGGGTCTCCTTCTTGTGAGCTTGAACGTGGTGAGATGGAATGAGACAGCGCCCCACCCAGAAAGAATAGACGAGATAGCACGGCGTATGAAAGCTGCAGACACACGGACATTGCAAGCAGAAGAAGCAGGGATCAGATCCGGTAATCGGGAGCACAGTCAAGGTCCTAGTGCTCTTGGCGCACACTTTCTGGCCGCCGCAAAAATGGAAAAACCTCTTTGCCTTCGGACCGCGCTAGCAAAATAAACTAATCGTGGAATGTGCCTTTAATTCGTCCCTGTTAGCCAAGTAGATTCTTATTTGATCGCGATTTTGCGATAGCTGCATAGATTAGCCTCCCTCTACGAATGAGAATAGGTAACATCGAAGAAACGTTGACCTTATGGCAGGGCAATGGCACTACTGACCGTTGCTCACTAGGTCATCTGTGCAGAGAGTGTTGAATTGCGAGGGCGCATGTCGTTAGGGAAACATTGAAATGAGTGACCCACCCGGATTTTGGCACCAAGCCTTAAGGATGAAGGGGGATTTTGGGGGAGGACGTGAGCAACCACTATTCTCCCTGGCGTTTCTCCCCTCTCCTTGGCTAAGTGCCTACTGTCACGTACCAGCGGTTTTTGAATTCACTGTTTTGTAGGCCCTCACTCCCCCCCCCCCGTCTAAGGCCATATGCGTCGTTCCAAGTTCTGCCTCCTCATCCCACGAATTATGTACTTGTCAAGTACTGCAACAATGCCGCAAAACGAACATCGAAAAAGATGTGGCAGTTCTTTAAAAAATGATGCCAGTTTGCAGTCAGGAGCAGTCCGTGGACGTGTTCATGCCGCTGCTGCTGTTGAAGTCCACGAGGGTGTCTACAGCACACCGGCGTCGCTGAGATCGGATGTCGCTCTTCAACGAGACGTTCTTGCTGAGCCGCTAAACGTAGACAAAATCAATGAAGAAAAGGTGAGGGAGTCACTGAGTTCTCAGCACGAAGCACTGAATATAGGACAATATCTGGCCCTAGGTGGGACCCTAATTCGCACATCTCGTTTTCTGAGCCTAATGCACCGCTAGGGAATCGCTCCACTTTAATGCCAGTGAACACAATGGCTGGAAGGCGGAGCGGATTTAATGACGTCATCGGGCCTCACTGGTGGAGGCGCGATGAGAAGTCCCACCTAGGGTCAGTGGGGACATTCCCTCCAACGCACCAGAGGCCCTGTTCCACCAATAACGTCCAATGACGTCAATAGAACCGTTCCCTTAATCATGCCATGATACTCACTGCCTCGAAAAGACAAAAGCTGTTTATGTATAGGAGAGATGTGCAGTGGAGAGGATAGAGACCCGCACAATCAAAGGCGCTATCGCAGCGAAAGAAGCGCTACGTTCGGCGTAGAGGCGTTATTAATTGCCCCATCCGACCCTCGTAAAAGTCTTCTACATACAGGGCTGTCCAAGTATCCACTACCTAAACCAAAAGCACGAGCGAGTTTCGACTTTCCGATTCCCGATTTCGGCATAACGATTCATCACCTTAGACGAATGTACGCTTATAAGCAATGGTATTAATACCACTGGAAGCTGAACTGAAGGCACATACCACGATGAATTCAGGTAGATCAGTCCCTACAACAAAAAAGGTGGAGTTCTCCCCGAAGCTGGCTCATGTACCCTTATCACTGCTCCAAAGCGCGCGACAGCGTCAGGGCTTTGTTGTCATCGACCGCTTCTGCTGTCTCTCATCGCAGCATGCGAGATTTCTGCGGACTCTGGTCCGTTGTGCTGTCTATCTTCTCACCTTTGTGTTCACTGTCTCTTCGTCTAGCTTGGTTCATATTATAGAATGAGGAACCCCTTAACTTCACTGTTCTCGACGGATTCCATTCCTTTTCTCTCCACAGCCGGTCCACTTCGCCTGTGTTCATTTTGCACGTAACAATCGTAACAATTTGACCGTGAAATGTGCCTTTAAGTAAGACCATGCCCGGCGTAGTCGGTAGGACGCTGCAGGGAAGGCAAGAGTTGCGGATTTGATTTCCGCCTAAGGAGGAACCTTTTGCTTGCGCATCGCTGTGAGAGGTTTTGCATCTCGAGCTAAAAACAGCAGTTAATTATTTAGAACAAAACTAAGCTAAGTATTTCAAGGAGCAGTGCTATCATCTGATTTTTCCAGTCGTTGCTCCAAAAGAAGACGAATAGAACCGTCACAACTACTCACACACCAACGACGACGACCTCAAGGCTTCCATCGACGAAGCCTTCGACTGAAGCCAACCTTCCGACAACTACTCACCGATCGACGACCACACGGTCTGCGCCTTCCACGACCGTTAGGCTTCCAACGACATCTAGGCCTTCAACGACCACCAGAACCTCGACAGTAACTCAGCGTCGGACGACTACAACACCACCATCGACGACCACACAGCCTCCAACGACCGTCAGCAAAAGGTAAGGTGCATTCTTCTTTGTTTGCTTCAAACGAATTGCTGATTATTAAGGACTCGCCGACCTACCAGCTTAATTCCACTGACGGAGGCAACCACAAGAACGACTACCGTTCGCATTACAACCACCACTGCTTCTACGTACGTTATAGAATGTTTCTTTTAAATCTTGAGGCAGTGATCACGATAACTGGAGGGTATTGCTGTTATGATGACGTCATCGATGGAAATAAGTTGAGGGGCGGTCCTGACCACGAGCAAGGGGTCTTGTTCGCTAATAAACTTCAATGCCCTCGTCAAGACTGCTTTGCCCTCCAGCCACTGTAATCACTGCTTCAGGCAGGAGTGAATGTTGAGCGGATCAATTCTGTAGCGCAGTAGCAGAAGTTGCACGTACAAAGAACTGGTTGGGAGGCTACTTCCGTCTAATGATGGCTCAACGATGTCTTATCCTCCACGGTGGTGTCAACAATGTATAGTGCGGATTTCTTTCAGCAAAAGAATCCGTCAGAGGGAAAGAAAACATGATTGCCAGAAAAGGTTGTTGAGCAGGAGTTGAGATGGTGAAAGGTAGTGGGGTGTGAATAAGGGGAGAGTAGACCGACTGTGCATAATTACGCTTCTCTCCCTATGAGTTAAAGGACGAACTTCACGCTGGAAAGCAACCCATTTCAAATTAACTTAGCGATGGTGAGTGGTACACGAAAGAAGGAAAAACCATGAGAAACGGCCCAGAACCCGAGAAATGGGACCCCTTCCTTGCCCGTTGATTTGAGCATTGATGCGACTATCATCGCTGTGCCCTCTTCAACACTACGCTCTCTCATCTAATCACTCGCCACGTATAGACCTGCGGCGAGTGATCAGATGATCGGTGGGCGTGCACTGGCCCACCGCGCCAAGACTGAGCCTTAAGGTGGGGAGGGGGACTTTAGATGCAAGTGACCTCACACTCCCTATATCACACCTGCCAACCTGCGTGTCCTGTGGGGTGACCCCGTTAATTGATTGCGTTGACTAACTGACCTCCGGCATTGATACTACATCATCACATCCCAATTAGAGGTATGCAGAAGATTTTAGAAATAACGAAAATCAACAAAATCGAAAATTAACGACAACCTAACAAAATCGCAAATCACACCACACGATAATCGAACTAACACTGAAAAAAAACCGAAAACGTTACGATTTGGTAATTCACCTTATTTGCTCGTAAATACCTCGTAAGTGAGCATCGTTTTTGAAGTGAAAACTGTAAACCTAGCAAAAAATTGCGCAGTCCACGACATTCATAGGATAGTTCACTTAATTTCGATCATTTTTCACTTTCAAGAAAACCCCCATTCGAGCAACTGGTACACTCATTGAACCAAAGTGTCCATTATAATTTCCACCTTTTTTATAATCTTTCTGGCAGTTAGCTTAGCGATCTCATTGCGATAATACGATTTTGCTACAAAAGTGATCAATTACTGACTCAGTTTTGAACATCGAAAATTCTGGGGCTGTTTGCCAGCTGGGCTGTTCTGCAACAATCTAATAAAAACGGTGTGTGGAGGATAAAATGTAGGGGGGACTACAGTGAAAGCAGCAGCATGTCCCAGTGAAGCGGAAGAAAAAGCGTTTCTTCGAGAGTTTTTCATTTACCCTTGCGCTGAGCCACCCGCCAGAGCGAATAAATAAATCACGAGCTTGTATGTTGTAGAACAATGTCCAAGCTAGCTATGATAATTTTCAACAAATTTTATAGTAAAAAGTTCCACCTAAAGTTCCACTTGATGCGCTGATACTACTGATCAGGATAAAATGAACCACCTCATGGATCCAGTACTCCGCTTGACTTGGTAACCATATATTAATGCCATACATTTTATTTCCTGTACCATAGTAATACATAAACACTAGCTGTCTCCTAACTCTCCGTAGGTCTGAACTAGTTCAATGTAGATAACCTTTTCAAAATGTCTTTACGATTTACACAGTGCGATTCTGCCCTTACAATTAGATGGCCCTAACATGAAGAGGTCTGCAGTCGACAGATCGCAATTAAGGGAGGTATCCCCGCAGGCAGGTGAGTGGAGGTGTGAACAAGTCTCCACATAATTGCACTTGCATCTAAAGTTGCTAACCCCTTTAAGGTGGGGTAGGAAGGGGTAGGGGGCTTAGGTCGCCGAGGTCAAATCCTTTCGTGCCAATTGCGCTTCAGTTCGCACCCTCAGGAGGTCCGCGGGTCCCTCAACTAGGTGAATTACTCCTTCTTCGACCTTCATTCTAATCGTGAATTCCTCCTTTAAAGGATTGTAACGGAGACCAAAAGCGCTAAATAGGTCAGGTAAGGCTAAGTCCAGATTGCCGAGAAATATGCAAAATGAGAGCTTTCCGTTCGTGGGACTGCACGTGGATGGGCGAGAGGCTGCAGTAGGGGCACCCCGAGAGCCGTTTCTAGTATAAGGAACGCAAATAGGAAGTATAGAACGCAAATAGCATAGAGCTAACGGGGAAGTCGCCGCTGCGCCTTTAGTGATAATATCTCCAACTTTCTGACTGCTTCACCACGACCATCTTTAGCCCAGATGGATGAGCAGGGACAATATCAAAGATAAACTATCTCAGATTAATTGGGATCATGAAATATTGTTCGAAACCGATCAAAAATACTGGTTTTTGCCCAAAAAATGTAAGCGGATTATTATTTTCACAATGATTGCGTATCCCCGAATTTGATGTCTCACTAAATGGACCAGTACCGTTGTGCTCTGAGTAGGGAAAAACAGAAATGGACAAACCGTTGGGCAACCCTGGACGTTGTTGTGGATCACACTGCTTTGAATGCCGGGGTTGGAGCCGTCTTCAGATGAGCCTACGCTCGGTGACGTCATCGCTGCTCCTGATCCCAGCCACCTTCTTCAGTGATTTCAACAAATTCTCATGACTGACCCATTCCGCATCGGTTATATGATAATATGGGTGGTTAAAATAGGTGAACCGGCTAATCAATTCTGGTAGATTTGATGGTCTTAGAATTCTAGATGCTTGAACACCCGTAACGCAATATGTACTCGGATCGTTACCTGTGGGGAGTGGGTTAACTTGGTACCCTTACCCCACCTTCCCACTAATATCATCTCTTCGTCGTGCTCCCACTTAGAAATGATGCTATGGAACGAAAATTTTTAACAGTAGCCATTCATTTTAGAACATCACGAGCTCCTACTTCGCCATCCTTTCCTTTGTACTTCCCTAGGAGAAGTACTGATGAACCAGAAGAGCCCTCAACGACCTACAAGCCAGGTACTCCAATATCCAAATCCCTTAATTTTTATACGATGGCTCCCCCACTTTTTGTTGAACATTTCAGGTTGTCTACTTGACATGATAATCGTTTTGGATTCATCCGGCAGTGTAGAAGAGACGTTCCTTCGTGAGAAAGAACTGGCTGCCGGCATTTTGTCACGCTTAAGAATTGGACCAAACAATGCGAGAGTTGGTGCTACAAGCTTCAGCAATATCCATTGCTTTTATGCTTATTTTTTCATATTTGCTAGGATTTCTTACTTAGATTTTTGCTGTCTTTCCAGGTATCTATCATAAAATTTGCGCGGAACAAAACAAGTGAAGACGGTCTGGTCGTTGCAGCCAATTTCCAGTCGCAAAGGACAAATGTCTAATGGGCGTTCTCAATCGGATACCGTCACTTCTGGAAAAACTGCCATTACTCCGCTCTGTTTGAAGGTATATGCATACATTTGTTCGTGTAGTTTTGTAGGAGCAGTGGTCAAGTGCCGCTGCTCCATAATCCCGACCGTATCAGCTGACTGACAACATAATCCAAAAACCTTTCATTTCACCTGTGCAACCTGTTGTTTCATCGAAATTGTTCGAAGCGGCAGCAACAAGAGCCTTCCCTGCGTCCCATGTTGCGTTGCCAAGAGTTGTCCAGTGGACCCTCCTCGCTCGAGAACACGAGAGTCCTTCATTCCTTTCGTTCAGAGCTTTCGTGAAGAAGTCTGACCATCGGGCCGGCGGTCGTCCAGGTGTTCGTTTGACGTCCCGAGGGATCCAGTCGGTAACCGATCTGGTCCAAAAATCTTCATAAGGAGCGAGAATAAAGGTCGTTGAGGAGCAATGGTGTGAGTTGTGGAGAAAAGATAAGCAGGCAACGGAGGGTGCATAGTTATACAGCTGTCTTTGTCGAAGTTTGGCCAGAGAGTCAGTGGTTATGATAGCGCGACCAGTTCTGATCCTAAGGAAAGTTCCTCTCTAAATGAGAACAATTCCTCAAAAACCGTAGAAAAGAGGGGCATCCAGTTCTTAGCGAGAGCGTGGTAACAAAAAAATTACAGGGATCCGTTTCTGGTGGTAATGACATCGATTCAAACGTTGAAGTTCCATTCGAAAACGGATCTTCACGATTCCACTTTACGGTACCCGAAACACAACATTTGTTAGGCTCATAACTGAGCATGGATGAGTGCTATCCAGAGTAGCGCATCGCATTCAAAGCAGCTGTCCATGTGGATGATGTTTACAGCCTCTGATGTACGCAAGAATGCGGGACCTTATTTAGCATGACTCCCGTTTGAACGCAAAGGTATGTTCCAGCCGACTGCAATTCTCGCGTCTAATCTTCGCCGAATTTCGGACTGCGGCTATCTTACTAGAAGCTGCAGGGCGCTTGTGCAGCTTATCGTACTGATTCCTCAGTGCGGTTAGTAGCAGTGCAGCGCGCTGTTGTTTGAAACTCGCACTGAGAAGCAATAACGCAATTTTCTGAAATTACACGACGTTAAAAATTTGGTCTACATGTTTAGCAAATTTTTCTGATCAGGCTGTCATTATGACCCAGAGCCCAACTTCTCGCACTACATTTATGTACTGAGGTAGATTGAAATGAGTATCACAAACAGCAATTTACTGTTAGTGCACGCGCTGTATTGCGACAACTTGTTACAGCTGTTGAGTTTGACTTTGACCTTTCACTCCTACAGGGCCTCGCTGAATACACAACGGAGATCGACGGGGCTCGACCAGGTCAAGCGCGACCAGTGGCCGTGATCTTTACCGATTGGCTACGCTCAGAAATCAACATCCGAAGAGGCCGCGATGCTGAGAGCCGTCATCCCGGACACTTTATGCAATCGCCATCAATCAAAGCGTAGGTTCCTTTTGTGCTTTTGGACTTTCGACGACAGCGCTTTCAATGGCAGCGCTCACGATGGCTGGAGGGCGATTCACTTTCGATGACGCCATCGAGTTTCATTGATGGGCTAGGCCGGCCATCGCGCTGGAGTGCAGTTGGGACCCGACTCTCAATGCCCTTCCGCACTGAAGTTTTATGACGTCATGAAAATAGAAACGCTCACCAGCCATCGCGATCACTGCCTTTGGAGCGTTTCACCCATGAACATTATAAGAGGTCAAGAGGTCAGTTATTACCTGTTCAGAGAAAGCTCTAGTAAGGAAAAATCGCAGAAAATGCTACGGTGTAAGTTAACAGATAGGTTATCAGTTGCCAGTTTCATAATACGATATCCTTTCAAAGGCACCACCGATCCACAAAATGCACGTCTAACATTTTTGATCATCAAATGGGGCTTCATCAGAGATATCGTCTAAGCCTCTTTTGGAACGTGATCTTCGTATTTTCAGTATCCAATCTCTCGAAATGAACTGGAAATCATCGTCGGCTCCCCAGACCGTGTCTTCACTGATTCGAATATCGGCGGCAAATTCCATGACGTGCTGGAGGCGATCGCAAGGGACCTCGAACGGGAAACAGGGGGGGACATAATACGCACGGACGGGGAAAAAAAGATGGATATCAACGGGGACGGGGGGACAATCGACGGGCGGAGGGGGGGACGGCGAACACACACCAGATGGGGGGAAGAAGGACACTGTATCGTGGACTAGAAACTGGTTACTACTGGCCGAAATGGCCAGGTAGTACATTAAGGCTTCAGAATAAGGGTCGCCATGAAACCCTTACGAAGGGTTATTTATCAGACCGGTCGCTAACTATCCATAGAAAAGCGTTTCTTCTCTCCGCTCTGGCTTAGGATCACTCTCTAATACTGCTAACTATCTTCGAAGAATATCTCGAGCCACTTAGTCATAGACATTGGCTAAATCTGAATTTAATAGCTCCACGCATACGCGACCGCACGCGTCCCTTTCAGTAAATTTGCGGCGTTTATTCATAAGTAAAATAGGGTCATAGAATGGACCGGCACATAATCTGAACACAGAACAAGATTATGGTAGTCCATTTCCAAGGTTTTGAATGTCACGACCTTCCAGCCTCAATTAACACCATGTCATCTCCCATTGAAATACTGCAAAGATAAATGTGCCACGCAGCAGTACTGCACGGCATTTCGATCTATTGGTCGTAGTTACACATCTGAATATCTCCGTTAATATAGCACATTCCCTGCAAAAATCATTTACCCTTCCTTATCCCCCTATCTCCATTAAACTATTGCCATGACCGTGACCATGACCGCTACTATTAAAGGTTCATTCCACTATTGTATAGGTATGGTACGTCCGAAAATAAAGGTAGTGTGGTGATTGGTTCAGTAGTAATTAAAGAACTCTAAAAAGATGCTAGAACCCATTAGACTCAAACTGCGCGCCGATATGTGGGCGGAGTTTGCGCTCCACCCCTGTGCAAATCTCGTTGCTCGACTCCATCTCCTCGCCGCATGTCACGATATCAACGATTTCGCTGATATCGTTGCTGGGAATCGCTTGCTTTCTTTCATAACTGGGGGACCAATCATCACAACTACATCATTTTCGAGCACAATAAGCTGTGCCAGTTGAATTGTGGGAAGTACCTTTAATGGCTAACCATTTAGCGCTCGGTCACTTGACGTTACCCTTGTGCAGCCAGTTGTACCTGCTACCCTTTGCTACAAGCAAGGCGCTCATGTCCTTGAAGGGGGGGGGACATCCAAGTGAGTGAGACATTACTGTGCTTGGGACTAAAGCCTCAGGCAGGGGAAGGGATTCTGTGGGAGTATGCAAGCAATATGTGTGTTCCATGCCGTTTCTCCCCCTCTTGGGCTTACTCCTAAAGCCACCTTCAATCGGCCCTGTTGTAGATGTCCCCCCCCCGAGGACATGAGCGCCAGAAGCAAGATTTAAGGAATAGTCGCCATCAAATAGAAAGGTGCGATTAAAATAAGATTTGATCGCATCGAGCATGCAACTTGATGACCAGTACCAGTGCGACCAGCTTGTTCCTCGACCAATTGGAATTGCAGTCAGCAGTTGGGTAAAGTCGCAGTACGACCTATACCTACAATAAGTGTACCATTTGTCTCCCTCCCGCTGCCGAGCGAAGTCGGCAAGCGCGCTTAGCACATAATTAGCGTGGAAATAAATAATCCATGGCACCAAAAATCACATGAAACAGTGATTTAAGGAGCCCTTCGCCAAATGTAACTGCTGGCTAATCTCTGTACAATCAGTATAACACGGTCGAGCCATTCCAGCCATTCAACGAAACCGTGAATTTCGGAGCTTTTAATTATTTGATACGCGCATATGTTGCTAACGCGCTGCAGACTCACCTTGGTACGGCATACAAAGTGTAGATGTGTGACTGCGACAAAAACTCCGTATTATTACCAAGAAAACGCCAATCCTATCATGTTTCCTCACGCCTACCGGTGTATGTGTATTTTTATTTAATTTATTTGTATTTTGTTGTATAGTCGCATTTTTGTACGTCAGATATTTATTACATTCCAATTATGACCAGATAAATAATTAGTGGGTATTATAGCTTCCTTTTCTTTACATGACTTAGATTCACGTAGACAACAAACACAAAACAGTGAATGGGTAGAGTGGGAGCGACGAATAAAGCAGGATACACGAAGGTGATTATGCCCAGATCTGAATGCACAGCGCGCGTTGGTATAATACTATAGCTGCCCTTAATAAAGCATAGCACGAACTGGAGGGCGGTGCGGTTTTGGTGACGTCATTGAACGTCATCCGTAGACATGAGCTGCCAACGCAGTGGGAATTGCGACTTTCCACCAACGATGTTCAACGGAAACGACAGAACCGCACCACTCTGCAATCGGTCGCGACTCAGTTTAAGTCAGGCTCTCCTCAGCAATAACTAGCGTGGTTCCATACGAATTACTCGAAAAATTGCAAAGCTTTTTGTCCTTACCTCAACTCGCCGAGTATGTAAACGAAAAAAGCAAAGCAGAACCACGAAATCTACTAGCATTAGAGCTGCAAGTGAAGAAAAGGAAAGCATACGTGTTTCCATCATGGAAAATTAAGTTGCACTCACCCTGATAGTGCAATCCCAACTGGCAGAACATATTGCAGTCCCATCGGGACTTGTGCGTAGACAGCTGATGCGATTCTCATGGCCATAAAGGACCGAATGACGAACACACTTAAGTGAATCCCACCACGACGAGCGCGAATAGTCACCCGTACCGCAAAAGAAAGTACGCCTTCAAAAATTCGCATTAAATAACTAAATATAAATAACTAATCAAAAAAAATACTGCTCACCGCTAACGCTAAAATCCACACCATTCACAGGGAAGAGTATGGATTCCTTCGGCCTCCATAAACGCATACTTGACGATCGGCTCGTAGATCGAACAGGCGACACTGAATTGTGTGGCTTTAAAAACGCTCTATCCTCTATCAATGAAGTTCCTCTGTCAGTAGTGCGCGCATAACTATTCTGGGAAGTTCAATATTAACGATCAGTCAAACATTACGAAAGTGATAAAAAAAACTGTAGTGTGAATAAAGGGTTGCGCCTACCGTTGCATCGTCAGAACCAGTTGCAAACGCGTCACCATTTGGGTGGAAACGAACGGTGTTAATATCCGCCTCGTGACCTTCGAAAGACTAAAAAAATTAATTAGAAAATAAAAGTAATGTAATTAACGAGTAAGATAACAAGGTTTCTGAAAGTGAACACGTCATGCGGTGGACAACAAGAGAAGATGAGGATATTATGCGATTGAAAAAGGGCTGTTAGGAACGGAAATGAAAGACTAAACTGTGTTAGAAAGGAGACAATACACCTATGTAAATTTCACTGATGGAGAATTCGTGTGATGGTTCAAGCGAAAGATGACAGGGGTCAAATAGGTGTAATCCAGTAGGAGAACATATACCTGTACACATTGTCCTGTACGAATGTCCCATACAAGAGAATGTTTGTCAGCGCCTGCAGAAATGAATACATTTCCAGTGTCGCATTTGGGAACATCGATCGCGAACACGTCACCAGTGTGACCATGGAAATTTTGAATCATCTGAAACAAAATCAATTTACCACTCAAAATTATGCCGATTTAAGTCTGCAGAGCAAAATGACTGTCTCTGAGACTCCAGTTGCATTGATATGAAAGGCAGGGAGGGGGACAAGGGTTGCAAATAAGAACTATTGGGGTCTTTTCTTAGAATAGTAAAGCGTCGGTGAGAAGTCCTTTCGATGCTTATGAAACTAATAGACTGCTTACGCACGAATCGCCAAATGTTTGAGTATACCCTACACTTGACACCTTAAGAAGATACGGCATGCAGGTATCAAAAGATTTAGTCACATTCATTGCTGAAGCTTTTAATATACTTTTAATATACAACAAACAAATTATTTCACAAGTGCGCATACACGGAGTAATACAGAAGTTCTCAGAGTACGAAAAATTATTTGGAAAATAAAGCCCTAAATTTGTGATTGCCACGAACCTGGACATCGATAATAAGGTCTACATCTTATGAAAAATAAAAATTGGAGGAAAAAATTATTCGATAAACGAGTGATGCAGTGCTAAAGGGGAAGTGGCACTATTTACCCTTTACTGCCCCACTCCTCAAGAACTGAGCCGGATTTTGATCGAAATTCGTCCATGACTGTGGATTTTAGAAACTTGCCTTCAGGGGTAATTTGACCCGTAGATCACGAATATAATACCGGTTTAGAGCGAAAACGCTTGGCGCCCGCGCCACAGGCGCCGGCGCTATCACAACAGTTTTGCGCGGGCGCTCGTAGCGCAGGCTACAGGTTCACTCGTAACAAACTGATGTGATAATCATATTCTACGGGTCAAAATACCTCTGAGGACAACTTTCCAGCGAATTTGGGGATCCGAGATGTTCTGGCGCCTTTTGGCGCCGGCGCTTCTGACGCGAGCGCCAGGCGTTCTAGCGGTAAACAAATGTGATATTCGTGTTCTACGGGTCGAATTACCCCCGAAGACAAGTTTCTGGCCAAATTCACAGTCAATGGTGACGTATTTCTTCGTATTGTAGTGCTAGTTTTCGAGTCCCCTTTAGGGGGACAGTCCACAGATGTGGCATTCTCTGTGCACAGAAGTCAACGAGGATTTGCTAGGGCCCTCGCAATAGGCTGGTTCAAGCTGTATTTCTTCTCTATATCACTTGTTGTCTGGCGCTTTGACGTTGCGCCTCTTCGCCTCTAATTGCTCTCCTTCTCCTGCGCTTGGCTTGTCGTGCGCTTTGCGCCAGTCGATTATGAATGATGGTGAATGTAAGCCTACCTGGACAGCATTTTCGACGGAATTCCCCTTTCATACTTGCCGGCCTCCTATTGCGCACCAATGGCCATTCCGTTCGGCTGTGCTCAAAAACAACACTAATTGATCGTGGGCATGCCTTTAAGGTTCATGGTCTATTGGTGCTGGGCGATGAAGAAAAACTGAAGAAATTGCCCAAAGAACTTCGGGAATAGGGATACTCTTTCCCCCTGTCTTCTCTTCCTTCTGATTTCCACGTATTCATAATTACGGACTTCTCATCGTGCTGCACTCCTTGCAACGCTCTAACGCTTCTTCTTTGCTGATTTGGCTAAGAGACCTGCCGCGGTAGCCAGTCAGATGGCGTGTCGCGGCGATAGCTATACGCGCTCAATGCCATGCTATGTCGCGAGCATTCTTTCCGGTGAGTACGCGCGGCCGGTCCCGCAATCTTTGGCTGTCTGTGTGTGTTTCATAGGTGAGTTTTCCTCGTCGTCCGAACTTCGGGCCTTATCGGTGTAATTTTGGCCTCCTTTCAGCCAACATTGTGGCGTAACAGCCGACAAATTAATGAATGTGGATGCGGGAGTGACTTTAAAATGAAAAAGAAGAAGCAAAGCGAAAACTGCCGTTTGAAGCGCTTGAACGAACACACCCTCTCTTTGTTCCTTTTGAAATGAAGTAGAGAGGAGTCCGGACGGGTTTTCTGAAGTCACTTTGCTCCACGCCTCCACTAACCCGCGCGTGATTGAATTGGCCCTTCTCGTAATCCATGTTGCGTGTTATGGATGTGCACGAGGCATCTCGTCCGTAAGTTCACACTGGTCACCAGTTCACTTGTGAGGCCCTGGAACCACTTTCGCGCACTATCGAGCCGCGACAACGGCACATCTTATACCACACCAAAACAGTTTCACACGTCATCTGGGGTCGTTACTTCAAGGTAGACCTCGGGTTGATCGCGGTGCGCCTCAAAACAAACTTTCTGTACTAAAGCTTCATGTGATGGCAATGCAGTGTGGTATTTCTTTTTGGCAACAGTAATCACTTTTCCAGCAGTGGAACGAAGTTTCGCAGTGGGCGGACTTGAGGAACGGAATAAGTGAACGACTAAATGAAAATTAAATGGGATGGATCACATCATGTTTTGAATTCCTGGTGGTAATTTACTGTCTTTCTGTGCCTTCCCCCCTCTCTCCGGAAATAACACACCCACTCGAACTTAGTAAGCTGTGTACAATTGTTCTCCCGCAATGCAATTGAACCTTATCGCTATGAGCCGACTACTTAACTTCAAATTACTTGGGGGGCCCGTTTCCGCCACTTGTGGTGTATGGTCTGACCGACATTTTCTTCTGGTTTTTTGAAATGGACGGTTACAGTACTGGAGCTGGTGTGGCTCCTAATCTTGAGTTATGAAAGTCACCGCGAGTAATGCATGAATACTTTTTATGGTGGAACTATGGCCGTCGTTTACACAAGAGGGCTATTTATGTACGCATGGCTTTCTAACGAGATTTATTAAAGTTTTCAATTAATTCATCAGGCACTTTCAAACTGCTTTCGGATGCAATTTTTAGTAACTATTCCGTTGAAGTCTAACAGACTACATTGAACTCATCTACGAGGATGTTCGCACAGGACAAAAAAATTAACTACCGTCAAATAGCCCTCGCTTTTCTGGCGCTCACCACGATTTCAATCAAGCTCATGCTCTCATTCAAAGAAATACTATTACATAATTAAGAAAGAAAAACCATTATAAACAAAATGATAGATACGGTTCGTTTCGCTCCTTCCTCAGACGTACCTTATTATCGTCAAGTCCCCGTGAGCTCCACATAACTAACTATTTTTGCTCGACCACCAATAAGCGAAGTAATTACAGCAGAGATTGCAAGAAATACTTGAAAAAGGCGATTGAAAAATTCTTGAGTGCAAGCGAACACCGAAAGACAGTACTATGAGCCACTAGCCATGGAACGAAACGTTCTTTCATTTAATTGCGATTGATGCAATTGTGAATCCATCGACTGTCAGTTGGGTTCAAAACAAGGGTGGCCATAAGTCTGTGTTCTGCAAACTCTGCGTGTATCTATATCTTGTCGTGCCTTTGTTCTTTACTACCGAACTTTACCATATCTGTACTTTGAATCTGTGTTGAATCGTGCTTTCTATTCGATAGACGCAAACTTTTGATGTCCGATTTTTTTAATAATCATGGTCTATTCTCATGATCGATGGCTCTCTTTTTCAGAAAAGCTGGGATGAGTTGAGTTGAGGAGAACGTTTTCGGATGAGCAGTGAAGACAAACCATCGACGTCCAACACGAAAAGCCTGAAGAATGCCAGCCACAATAGCTTCTTCGGGTGATGCAGCCGCCAGTATTTTTTTTCCTTGAGATCATTGGTACAATGTTATCAGTCTGTTATCCAACGGAACCACCAGAACTAAATCTTATAGGGGGACGACTTGAGAAAATGAGAAGCTTACGCATCTAGCATTCCCTCTCCTCCTTTGAGATCTGGTCATAAAACTGAGTGAAATTTTTTTCCGTCACAGTATTCAGTGGAAATTTTCCTCGCTTCTGCTTACTGCTTATCTTTTCTGCGACTTTGCTACATTAGCAATTTCATTAGAACAGCCTGCTTACTTTTTGCTCCCGGCATAAAGGAATGAGTGAAAAGCGTGAAATTAAATTATCTGGTTGGAGAATGTTACGGGGTCTCATCCAGCAAAGGGAGCATACAATGCTACAGTAGCTGTCGTCTGTAGAAATCTAGAAGTGCGTCACCTATTCCGCTACCGCTTTTTGCACCCACACCGGAGCTTCTTTTTCTGTGAACAACTGGATTAGCAACTGGACCCGCACTACCCCCCCCCCCTTTTCTCCCTTTCTTTCCTGGAGACCCATACTACGTTTCATTCAAATCAGTTTGATCTATTTAGGCAAGGAGATCAAATAGAGGTTCTGGCTAAAGAAGCCGAAGAGTTGCGAAAGAAACTCGATCAAGAACGTCAGAAACTCAATGATATTCCGAGTAAGAGAGAATTGGTCATTTGCGTCCGCTTCTTACCAGCTGTACTACCAGATATTTGCCAATTTCTTCCATTTTCAGTCCAACAGGCGGCAGAACGTCTGGATCCACTGCCAAATCTAGGTATCAAGCAAAGACGAATTTTGAAAGGTCATGCCGGTAAAGTGCTATGTATGGATTGGTCCTCGATAAGAGACATATAGTTACTCGTCACAGGTTGGATGTTTTCCCAGATACTCATCAATGTTTTCATTTTTGAAAATGTCATGGGCACATCATTCAGTACCTTAATCGTATAGGCGTTTCACAGAGAAGCCTTCTTTCAGCATTTTATGATAGCGGCTACCGGTAACCAAAAAGGGTAAAGGGAGTGCTACTTATAGTGTTGTCGTAATCGTGCACACTACACCAGGCTTCACGCCAAATGCACTGGAACATGCCTGCTTCGGTGGAATTCGTGAAATTGAATGTCTGCTGTATCTGTGGAGCTGAACTCACCAAAAAGACAAATCGTTAGAATAAAGTAGCAAATTCTTAGAACAACTCGTAGTACGTTGACGCGTAAAGCTTGAAGTTTTTCCGCATATATGTATCCTTCCGTTTAACAGCACAAATTTAAGTTTTAATTGTTGTATCTGATTTAAATGATCTTAGAACATCCCTCAGAGTTTGCAAATTCCTAGAATAAGTCCTCGGAAGATTTTGAATTTGAATAGATTGTACCTGAAATGGGCTTCGGACATGGCTTTGGATACTTCTTTGTGGGTTCATCGTAGCTAAGCTGTGGTCGAAAGAGTCAAGTTCACAAAGTTCTGAAGATTGCTGACGCCCATCTTACGCTTTAAATCATCAACGCTGAGAAGGCAGAGGAGTGAAATTTTATCATGTGAGAGAGACAAAGCCTACTCAGCAAATCAAGACAAAACGGAATCGATCTCAGTAAGGAGTTACTTTTAATCTTCCCGTTCTCATCAACCTTACGGATCTGAACATTATAAACGTTTAAAAGACTTGACCTAAAGCCAGAAATTAGGCCGAGTGGGTCGCACGCATAATTCAAAGTTCTGGTAGATACATTACACTTTTTGAGGTGCACACCCTTCTTTTCAACCATTTACTTACTTGAGTGTTTACTGTAGGAGGAAGCGCACTGTTCCGTTTTTTAGGAGTTGGGCCAATGTAAGTCTTAGAGGAAAGCGCAGACGTCTCACGTTACTAAATTTATTTCAAGATTCTGCACAAATTTTGGCAGGCAGAGGTCGCATTGAAGCCGCCCATGAATGTACCATAAAGGGCTAGGACGGAGCTACACTCAGGGAATCTGAGAGTGTATCTCCGTCCTAGCCCCTTTATGGTGCAATTATGGAAATAAATAAAAAAAATGAGTTGCAATGCTTTCAAAACGCATGCGCAAGCATATCGCTGGCTTTATCGCTGCCCTACCAATAGAGGAGACATATATAAAGGCGCACATACAGAATCAATACCATAGCACCTGTGATTGCACAGTGTTTCTACTTTACGATTCTTTTCTCATGCGAACTTAAGTTATGTGATGCATAGGTGTGGTGTTACGATGTTTTGCGTATGAATTATTGGATGTGCTGGTGTGTGCGACATTGTTGCACTATCTGTGGCTCAAAAATGAAAGTCAGTAAGCTTCCCGAATGGCTGTGATTCCTTACCACGCCGCTTGCGTGACTGTAGTAAGCTCTATGAAGCACCACAAGTAACGCTTTGTGTGCTGATGATGTGCAAGTCCAAGATGCGCATCCACACCACTGTGTTGTTGAGAGTCAATATATGATACTCCGTTTACCAAGAGATACAACAGAACACTCCGCGTTTCAAACGCATACAATTAAACGCTCTCATTCCATTATATGAATCCCAATATGGCCTGCGTCCCCTTGGCGTGTTCGTCGTAAAGCTTGGTGTGATGCGTGCGGCGACCGCAGCATAACACCTCAGTTTGCGTCTTTTTTGGGTTACGGTAGCCCCTCATAAATGCTGAAGAAGACTTCTTGTCAGCGAGTTGCACTACACCTGCCGCATCTTTTTGCAAGTTCCTTCTGCAGGAGATGGTCCATATCCTGAGTGATTTCATATTGCATGAAGAACTATTATGGTTTTCCTAATCCAATAAAGTGCAGGGATAGTTCGGGACCATGAAAGTGTCATATAAACGTGACGCGCAGCCGCGTCATTCGGTCGTTAATGTGTTAAAAAGTAGATGAATTGTATGATGCACTGAAGTGTTCGCTAGGCCCTGTAAGCTTTGTTAAAATAACATGCTCAGCTCTGCAACTTAATTCTTTTCAGGACGGCAAAGTTATTGTATGGGATGGCTTCACAACGAATTAAGGACATGCTGTTGTCGATGCAACGACTGGCCTGCAGTAGACTTACCCGGGTGGGGAGTGGGTTGATGGCGTGCGCCTATTCATTGCGAGCAGCCAGTTGATAGCCTGCGGGTTGGTCAGATGTTCCATCCATGTATTTGAGCTTTCACGACATCAGTGTTCTTCATATGATTTTCTTCCTACTTCAATGCACCGTTTTCAGAGGATTAGATAACAAATGCAGTGTTTTTCCGTTGTCTTTCGAAGACGATATCCTGCAAAAGAAACGTAGTGTAGCAACTCATACGAGCTATATGAGCTGTTGCATGTTTCTTCGCTCAGATAACTTTACTACTAACTGGCAGCGGCGATTCAACGTGTGCCATTTGGGATGTCGAAAGTGGACAGGTACGTAGTGTAGCCACAAGGCATTTCGAATTATTTTCTCAGTTCCCAAGAACAATTTTATTTGCTCCTAGCTGAAGCTAGTCACCTTGCTACTATTTTCAACAAAATGTCCTCTAGTCATACAAG